TCGGGTGCACCCCCGCCCCGCCCGCCCGCGGCCCCGCCCCAGCTCAGGTGAGCCGCCCCGCCCCGGCACAGAGCCGGCCCAGGTGAGTGGCCCCGCGTCCGCCAGGCCACCTGACCCTCCGGTGGCCCCAGGTGTGCCCCAATCGGTGGGAAGGCTATAGGGGCGCCGCGTTGCCGCCAGGGCAGCGTGTGCGGGTCCGTGGCCGCTCGCGGGCCTCCAGCGAGGAAACCCTCAGAGCATCATGGGTTTGCCTGGTGCCCAGGCCCTGGGGGCTCCCGGGAGGATGGGGTGCCAGTTGCAGGAGGAACTGGGAAGGCTCCGAGAGAGGTGGGAAGCATGGGGTTCCAGATCTTTGGATTTCGGTATAAAAACATTTAACACATTGTTGAGGACAGATAAAAGATTGCCAACTTTTTAACCAGAGCGGAGACTTCAGCGTGTGGGGGCTACATAGTGGGAATGGAAAACCTAAAAAGAGGGAGCCTTGGAAACACCAGGATTTAACAGGTGGGTGGAGAAGAGTTGCAATGCACAGATGCCAAGAATGATCGGAGGGTATGAAAATTAGGAAGAAAACTTTTAGAAACCAAGGGAATAAAGGGGGGGTGGGTGGAAGTGGGGATGAGGGCAAGCTCAAAGCCTTCAGGTACCCAGGTAGGCAATGTGGGTTAGTAAAGGGGGGGCCCATATTGTCACAACTTCCAGTTTTTCAAGAGAAAACCAGAAACCTACTGAGCATTAAATATTGGCAACTAAGGAAGACGAAAAGGAAAAGCCCAACTCTTTGAGAGCCAAACAAAACGTGGCTATGGCAGGATCCCCAGGCTGCCAATTTGCAACCTCTGTAATGAAGGGTTTTGAGAAGGAGGTATAATGCCAGATGGGGTGGGAAGATGAGGACTGAGAAGAGAGGGATTTGGCAACAAGGAGGTCATTGGATGCCAGAGCTGAGGTCCCAGCTGAAATTGGAAACTTGAAATTTGTTGTGATGCCATACATGGTTGTATGATTTTTCTTGGCAACATTTAACATCCTAGCAGGAATTTTTTCTTTCTTTCTTCTTTTTTTTTTTTTTTAAAGATGACCGGTAATGGGATCTTAACCTTTGACTTGGTGTTGTCAGCACCACGCTCTCCCAAGTGAGCTAACCGGTCATCCCTGTATGGGATCCGACCCCGTGGCCTTGGTGTTATCAGCACCACACTCTCCCGAGTGAGCCACGGGCCGGCCCAAGTAGGAATTGGCAGAAGAAGGTTGGGAGTTAGCGGCTGGTTGCAGCAGGACAAGGAGATGAAGAATGTGATCTTGGTCAGAGAGTTGAACTGGTGTCTGTGTTTAGACCCGCTGTAGATAGAGAGGGTCTAAACCAGATTGAGAAGAGGTGGAACTAGAAGAGGAGAATCTGGGTGGAAAAGGTTAGATTCGATGAGCATAAACTGAGTGAAAGAACTGGAAGGGCTGGAGATTATAGGTTGCTGAAAAGGAGAGAGAGGGTAACAGGAGTTGAAATGATCATAGAATTTTTGAGAATACATTCGTAATGTGTTTTTCACACCTGGCCTTTCTACTGGCTCAGATATAATTAAAAAATAATTAAGAATTCATTTAAAAATTATTTCCAAATAGAAATGAGTTCCATCATGACTTTTTTTGAGCCAGTTACTCTCTAAGCCTCAGTGTAAGCATAATAGTACCTTCATCTAGAGTTGTGAGGAATAAATAAGATATACATATGAAAGTTCTAGTAGTGCCTAGCACATAGTAGGTGCTCAATGAATATGAGCTGTTGTTATTATCATGTTACTCGAGGACTTTCCCTTTATCTAGCACAGAAGTTTCTAATGAGACTGTGAGGAGCTACCTCAGGGAACACTGCAGTGGGGTGGGGCACTGAGTGGGGTGTTCTAGCCTTCCTTGTTCCTGCTAAAACAGTCCCCTTCAAGTGGAGCAGCCTTGCCTTTGTCTGTTTTATTTACATCAATTAGATTTATCTAGACGATTTATTTGAATGAAGTGTTCTTTGGCAAAAAAAAGTGTGACAATCAGTTCTAGCACAAAATGAATGGGTTGTCTTCTCTTTGATCATTTATTCAACAACTGTACATTGGCATTGTGCTGTTGTGTTGGGGGTTGGGGATTCCAAAATGAAGGAGCACAGTATTTGCCCTCAGGGAGCCAGCCCCCAGGCAAGCTAACAGTGGGGAGAGTCTCATAAACATGCAGTGTGGTGAGTGCTGTGATGAGGTCACCCAGCACCTTGGGTCACTGAGAAGGCATGCCTGAGATGATCAGGAAAATCTGAAGGTGCAGAGAAGAGAGGACATTTGGACCAAGTCTGGAAAGATGAGCAAGTGGCAGTCTGAGAGTGGGGAAGGACCTTTTAAGAGGAATCAACAGCAGCACAAATGAGTTCTTGAGCTGAAGGTTAGGGGTGTGGGACAGAGACGGGAGACAGGGCTGGAAGGGCTGGGTGTGAAGGGTCTTGTGAAGGAGTTGGGCTGTCACAAGATCCTAAGAAGGGAAAGACACTATCAGCCTTCTGTTTTGGTTATTTGACTCTGGTGTCAGTGTAGAGCATGGACCAGAGGTAGGAGGCCAGTTAGGAGGTGTTAAAGAAAAAATAATTCAATGATAGTTATTAAAGCATGATAAGGAAGCTTTCAGGACCACTGCGGTAGGTACAGGGACTGCTGCAACGTTGTCTTGCAGTGGTGGGGAGAGATTGGGCTCAAGTCAGAATACAGCATGGGCATGTGGAAATTTATAGCCAAGGAGCAGAGTCAGGATTGGTCAGTGGGTAGAAAATTCCTAAGAGGAAACATCAGGGGTGAGGGGGATTCTGGCTAAACTGACCTAACAGGATTCTTGCTGAAGACAGGCCAGGGTGATCAGACATCACCTGCTGGGAGATGGTGGAGGATGAGGAGCCTGATCAAATATCCAGGGTGATCAGATATTGAGGGTCGGGGGTTCTTGTAAAACTGGCTTAGCAAGGTTCTATTGCTAAAACTGGGTTTTACAAGGAAGTGCACAGATGGGCCTAGGAAAAGTTTCCAAAACCTGACTAAAGTTTGGCCAAGAAAAGAATCTTTATCAGTGGCGAGTATTGAAAAAATCTTGGGGAGTAGTATTGAAGCCTGAGCTGTGGAGAGGCTGTGAGGACAGAGAGGCAGAGACCCCTTCCATGAAGTCTCAGGAAGTGGAAAGGCCAGGCCAGGTGGGGCGAGAATGAGAGGGTCTAGGCTGATTCCCAGGGTTCTACCTGCAGGAGGGAGTGCGGGTAATCTGGTGTAGGAGGGAATTGTGTGCCTACTCTCTCCCCCACCTAAACCTACCTTCAACCACATTGCCATCGAGTAGCCAGCGTCTTGCCCCTTTTCCACACAGCGCTACTTCCTGTTTTAGCTCACCGTTCTGAACACGCTCAGCCTTTGGAGCCTAGACACCATGATGTGGCACTTAATTTTGTCTGACTGTCTTCCTTGCAGTTGTTTCTGGTAAATCACACTTGTCTCTAACTCATTTGGGATCATCTCAAGGGTAAGACTGGGTCTCATTTGGTTGTTTCCAACACAGAATCTAGCACAGGAAGGAGGCACATATGAGCTGCCCAACTTGCTGACTTGACAGTGTCCCCTGTTTTCTTTTCAGATTGTGAGAACAGTAAGTGTGGCTCACAGAAGAGCATTTTTAAAGAAATACAATCATTGGGGGTGATACCAGATTTATAATGGAGGTTCCCCCAGCAACCAAGTTTGGTGAGACCTTTGTGTTTGAGGACAGGTTAGAGACACAGCAAGAACTGTTCCCAGGGGAGGACCTGGGGGACCCTTTTCTTCAGGAAAGAGGCTTGGAACAAATGGCTGTTATCTACAAGGAGATTCCTCTTGGGGAACAGGATGAGGAACATGATGATTATGAGGGGAATTTCAGTCTGTGCTCAAGCCCCGTTCAGCATCAGAGTATCCCCCCAGGAAGCAGACCCCAGGATGATGAGGTATTTGGCCAAACCTTCCTCCAGAAATCTGACCTAAGTGTGTGTCAGATAATCCATGGTGGAGAAGAGTCCTGTACAAGAGATTGTGAGGAAACAGACAGAGGGGACTTGGGACCTAACACACCTCACAGAACCCCACCACCAGCCAAACCCTACGCGTGTCGCGAGTGTGGGAAGGCCTTCAGCCAGAGCTCCCACCTTCTACGGCACCTGGTGATCCACACCGGGGAGAAGCCCTACGAGTGCTGCGAGTGTGGGAAGGCCTTCAGCCAGAGCTCGCACCTTCTCAGACACCAGATCATCCACACTGGGGAGAAGCCCTACGAGTGCCGGGAGTGCGGGAAGGCCTTCCGCCAGAGCTCAGCCCTCACGCAGCACCAGAAAATCCACAGTGGGAAGAGGCCCTACGAGTGCAGAGAGTGCGGGAAGGACTTCAGCCGGAGCTCCAGTCTCAGAAAACACGAGAGGATTCATACAGGAGAGAGACCTTACCAGTGTAAGGAGTGTGGGAAATCCTTCAACCAGAGTTCAGGCCTGAGCCAGCATCGGAAAATCCACACCCTAAAGAAACCTCACGCGTGCGATCTCTGTGGGAAAGCCTTTTGTCACAGGTCACACCTCATCCGACACCAGCGGATTCACACCGGGAAGAAGCCTTACAAATGTGAAGAGTGTGGCAAGGCCTTCAGCCAGAGCTCCAATCTCATCGAGCACCGGAAAACCCACACTGGCGAGAAACCCTACAAATGCCACAAGTGTGGCAAGGCCTTCAGCCAGAGCTCCTCACTTATCGAGCACCAGCGGATCCACACCGGGGAGAAGCCCTACGAGTGCTGTCAGTGTGGCAAGGCCTTCTGCCACAGCTCGGCGCTGATCCAGCACCAGCGGATCCACACCGGCAGGAAGCCCTATGCCTGCGAGTGTGGCAAGGCCTTCCGACACAGGTCGGCCCTCATCGAGCATTACAAAACACACACGAGAGAGAAGCCCTATGTGTGTAATCTGTGCGGCAAGTCCTTCCGGGGGAGCTCGCACCTGATTCGGCATCAGAAAATTCACACTGGGGAGAAGCTGTAGAAGGAGGAGCCTGCACCAAAGCTTGGAAGCCTTTGCCAGATGGGGAGGCGAGCTAGAAGAGAGAACTGGCTTTCAGTCTTCTCATTCCCATGTTTGACTCCCAGAATCCAGAAGAAGAATAAACGTCAAGTGAGGGAAAGTGGTTAAACCCGGGAAAATGGCAGATTAATTCTTTAAGTCAGGCTGTAGTCTGACACTCTTAGAAGGCAGAAACCCTGCTCACAGTCCCAATCAGCTGAAGAAAAGTGAATTCAAAAGTAGATATGGCAGCAGCAGAATGGAATTATCTGCCTGGGTCGGGCATTGGTGGGGACAACCAGAACAGATTAACAGAGCAAAGGAAGGTTTGGAAGGATTGGTTTGGGGTCGGGGGTGAGGGTGGTGAGCCCCTGGGCATGGTCTCTTAGCCCTCTCATTAGCATGAGGGCAGTTTCTGTCAGATGGTTCTGTCACAGGAGGGTAGAGGTTTGGTCCTGTGACCACAGGATGTTTGAACATCTGGCAGTGACTCAGTGGGGGTACAGGGCACTATTGCCCTTTGGGAATAACTCCTCCCTGAGACCCAGTGCCCCCAAGACCACAGTGTACCTTGGACATCATTAGGGCCCATATCTGGTCTTGCAGCTGTGCAGCCTCCTGTTTTTGCACCCTGGTGTCACTGGTGTCAGGGGATGTGGGAAGCAGGGTGGTTTGGTAGAGGAGGCCCCGGTGTAGTCAGAAGGTCCAAGTTCAAGTCCCAGTTCCTCCTCCCTGTGTGACCTTGAGCAAGTCCCATACCCTCCCAAGGTCCTGTTTCCCATCTGTGAGATGGGGGTAGTGGAACCTGCTCACACACCTCTAAGGGTTGGTGCAAGGTTCACATTCATAACAAGACCACATGTGAAAGTGCTTTGGCAACTGAGCAGTCACAGGTGACCCCAAGTGACCCCTGCCCCATCCAGAGGCATGTTCCCCATAGACCAGAGAAGCGTCCCTGTTCAGTTCCTGAAACAGCAGGGCTTGTAGCAAGCCCTCTCGTTAAACGTGGCTTTCCTTCATTCCCTCCAGATTGCATCCTGGGCTGCGTTTGCCTGGTGACATGGTCCCACACCCAGACGCTTCCTCTTGGATGCCATCCCAAGTCTCCCTTGGCAACAGTGTCATCCAAATTCCAATATTCTGTCTGCCCTTCCCTCCTGCCAACTGGAGTTTACCTGGGGATTGTTTAAAAAGTTCCATTGCTTGCGTCCTGCCTGTATCAATTCAGTGGGCATCCCCAGAACTGGGGCCCCAACAGGGGTAGGTTTTTAAAGTTCCCCAGATGATTAGACTGTCATAGCATGTGGCCAGGCTGTGAGCTCTGTGCAGGGCTTTCATGCAGTCCCCGACAGCTTCCAAATGTCATCCCACTCGCTCTGACGGAGCTTGAAGGCTATTGTGTCTCATCTTCCCACCTTCAGGGCTCTAGGAGTGGTCTCAGGCAGTAACATGGTTATCTGGCCTATTGGCAAGTGTTTGTCCCAGGCCACGGGGGTCTCTTTAGTGTTGGGTCCCCCCAGGCTCCTCAGAGCTTGTAGAGAAATAGCAGTCTGAGCTGTTTTAACATTTTCCAAAAGTTTACGGCTGGAATCACATGAACTCATTGTGGTAATGCTGGTTATTTCAGCTGATCAGAAGCTCAGCATGGCAGTTATGTATAATTTTGATGAACATGGAAAAGCCATGGGATAATGCTGGTTATTTCAGCTGATCAGAAGCTCAGCATGGCAGTTATGTATAATTTTGATGAATAAACATGGGAAAGCCATAATTGTTACTTAGTAAGTGGGTCTTGGTAGGTTAGAGATTTCAAAACACGGATATGATGGGCTGGAGAGATCACAGTGGAAATCCCGGCCATTCCTCTGCCTAGCCCCTGTCTTTGCTGCCTGAGTATGTGAAACATTTAACCAGCAGTTCAGTGTCCTCAGGACCTGCAGCACAACCAGCTGGAACAACTGGGCAGTGCGCTGGGTATTGCCTGCAGGTGGCTGGCACCAAGGGTCTCAGTCATTCATCAGAAGTGAAGAGAGAATGCTGAGACACACTTGGGACAGCAGGTGGTATCCGGCTGGGGGACCTCGAAAGATCTACCTCCTCTTCACCCCAACCCTATTTCAACCTCAGCCTTGGCCAGGCCGATCCTTACTGGGCAAATGTCTGTTACCTACCTTTGCTCTCTCCCTCTCCATCCCTTTGGTACCCCAGCCAAATCGATTTCTTAAAGCATCACTTTGCACATCACCGCTCTCCTTAAAACCAGCTTTCAGGATCTTTTCTGCCCATAACCCCTCATTTCAGCCAATCTGGTTCACCTCTGAACAAGCCACATGGAGTTTAGGCCGCCCCCTGCTGGATGCCCTCTTCATTTACTCTCAGCTTCCTATAATTCACTTTTTGCTGTTCTCACATTTTGGAATATGCACTTTCTTTCTCCTTCCTCCCTGTCTTTCCTTTTCTTCTTTTTATGTAACACGGGGATTAAGACACCTCCCCCCAAGGGTTAACAGATACTCACATAAATATGTTAAGACCAGATAATTTTTTTTTGAAAGTATGAGCAGAGCCTCATTCCTTCTGTTCAAAGTCTTTCACTGTTTTATTATGTATTTTAAAAAATCCTTTTGTTTTATTTAGATCCTCAAACTGTAAAGTTATAAGTTTGTCCCTGGTAATACTTTAATTTACTTGTTTGTTTTTGTTGTCTTACATATTTTCCCCTTCTTATTGCAGTGGTTTGTTTAGATGTTGAGTGTTGTAAAAATCCAACTCTTGGTTTTGTTTACTAATCTAATTATTTTGTCAAAGTATATGTATTCTTTTTTATTGGCTTAATACCTTATAATTCTCTGGTTATTTAGATATAGTTAATCATATTTTTAATATTTCTAGTAAATGTAGGAACTTTGGTCCATCATTTTTTTCTTACAGTTGCCTCTTTGCACTCCATAGGTTTTGACATGTGGTATTTTTTTTAATCGTATTAGAAATTTCCTTTTGGCCCAAGTGTTATTGTTTTTTAATATTTCCAAGTGATGAATGCTTAGGTCATTGCTGCTGCTTATGTACTGTGGTGTCAACATTTCTAAGTGTCCACAGAACTTCTTTGGGCCAGAATATATTATCGATTTTTATAAAGCATTTATGTAGTCTCACAAATGTGTTTTTATTCCACTAGTTCTATTTGTTAACTCAGTTTTTTATTATTTTATTCAAATGCATAGTTTCTCTAACTTTTGTTTACGTCAGGTTCTTAACCTGGCATCTATGAACTGCCTAGGAGTCTGAGAATGCAGGGGTTTCAGGGGTTGTGGAACCCTAGGGATGGAACAAAGTGTGTGTATGCATGAGTGAATTGTTCTGGGAGAGGGGTCTGTAGCATTCATCATATTTTGAAAGGGCTCTGTGACCCCAAAACAGTTAAGGACATGCATTTACCTGATAAAATTATAGTCCAATTTTTTGTGTTTTTTCTTTATGTATTTCTATTTCACTTTTGCTTTCTGTGTCTTTTTTATGTATATTGTTATGTTCGTCATGCAGTTTTCTGAAAAGTTATTTTGAGAAATAGGGGCATAAATTATCAATAAACGAGTCTCATGATATATGGGGCATACATATTTAATAGTGATATATTGAAAAACTGTGCCTTTCAGTACCTTTTTTGCCTCTTTTAATACTTCTAGCTTAAAAACATCTCTTTTCAAATATCATAATTGAAGCCCCTTACTTTTCTTAAATTTACATCTGCAAGGTAGAGTTTAGCTCAGCATTTTATTTTTTAAATTTGTAATGTTTTGCTATATCTCTGTAACTGATAAACAGCAAATCGTTGGATTTTGTTTCTGGTTCTTTCTGTAATTCTTTTTCTTATTATAAGAAGTTCTCCCTTCATTAATGTTATTATTGACCAAGGCATACTTTATTTTTTCATCTTAATATATATATTTTTTTGTCCTTTTTGAGACTGGCCGCACCATGCTCAGCCAGTGAGCGCACCGGTCATCCCTATATAGGATCCGAACCCGCGGTGGAAGCGCTGCTGCGCCCCCAGTGCCGCACTCTCCCGAGTGCGCCACGGGCTTGGCCCTCATCTTAATATTTTAATATATATTAACTCAACCCAAAAAGGCCATGCTCATCTTCCCCACCTCCTCTCCATCTCTATGAGTTATTAACTACACGTGGAGTGTCATTTCTGGCTAGACTAGAGGTCTGCCATTGGGCCCACCTGTTCCTCCCTGTCTCTGTCCTCTTTGTCACATTTGGGGTCAGTGCCAGGCTCTGCCTTGAGCCCACTCTTCAGGACACAGCCTCTGGCTTCACTGATCTCAGCTGTAACATGGAGAAATGATGCCACTTCACAGCCTCGTGGGGCGGAGAGATATAAGGAATGCAAATGTGCTTGAACCACAAGATGCAATTAATTATTACACTTTTAGTATTTTGAAATATTTCTTTAATTTTCTGTTCTTACTCTCAAAGTTCTTTCGACATAACTTCAAACGTTACTATTGTGCTTTACCTTTTAGAAGACGCTGTCAGATGTAGCGAAGAACTAAACATCGCGGATCTGTCAGGTCTGTTGCACCCTCCCCTAGTGAACCTCTACAGTCATTTGAAAAGGGGCGGTCCCGATCTCATCCTCCATTCCTATCACCTGTCTGTCTTTAGCCAGTTTTCCCCTCCATGTCCTCCTGACACGGCCAGCATCTCCCCCAGGGATAGAAGGGAAGTATTGTCACAGCTGTAAAGGCTCAAGAAGAGAGTCACTTCTGGCCACTTCTGTTGCAGATGGGGAAACTGAGGCCAATGACTTGCCCAAGATGTGTGTCTGTTTAGTGTCAGGTCTACCCAGCAGCCATGGGAAAGAACAATTCGGGATGTTATGCTGGAGTTCTGGCCAGTTGCTACCAGACTTTTCAAAGGCAGCAAGTGGGTTTAGTCACCACGGGCCAAGGCCAAAGTGAAAACCAAATGGCCTTGGTCCACTTAGAGTTGCTAAGATCTTGGGGACAAGTGGACATTCACCAGCATAACAAGGTTGATAGATGTATTTGCCAGAGTTCTGATGCATCAACTT